TTTTTTTTTTTTTTTGTTTAAATAACTTCAACCATGATTAGATTCTGTGCTTTTGTTTTTCAAGAATATATTAGTCAAATTAAATGGCTAGCAATCTCTCTAATTTTAGCGTATACACTTGAAAAAGAAAAATGTATCACTTGCAAGCCTTGTGCAGTTGTTCACTTGATATCCACCACTGATTGTTACAACTAGTTGGCATGAAGTCGCTATTACCCTATCTTGATCAAAGACAAAATAGATTTTATAGTAGTCAATAAAAAAAAAAAAGTATTCAACCAAGAAAGTTTCTCGATTAGGAAGTAATATCATGTATTTAAAATATTTGATGTTAGTAAGAAAACGAGTGTAATATATTTAGATAAAATTATAGCAAAGGTAACAAGAAAAGTCTCTTATTTTCCCAATTTGGTATCTGGTAGATTCAAAATTTAGAATATGAGTTGTATCTTTTATAAGTACCCGTTTTTATTTATGTTCATATAAATAGACATAGTGGATTCGACTAAATATTAGATCTGCCACTGTATCTTGCTAATTAACTTTGGACTGAAGTGTATTTTATGGCATTGACAGGTTCAAAGATGTGCAGAGGACAAAACAATCTTGATCACAACTTACGAAGGGAATCACAACCACCCATTGCCGCCGGCCGCGGCAGCAATGGCCTCAACTACTTCCTCAGCAGCACGAATGCTGCTCTCAGGTTCCATGCCAAGTGCAGATGGCTTAATGAGCTCAAATATCTTAGCCAGAACACTCCTCCCTTGTTCTTCTAGTATAGCGACAATTTCAGCCTCTGCACCATTCCCTACTGTTACGTTGGACCTAACTCAAACCTCAAATCCTTTGCAATTTAAAGGACCCTCTAACCAATCCCAATTCCCTTTCCAAAATCCACACCAAAATTCCCCTGGAAATCCTATTGCACTTTTACCTCAGATTTTTGGCCAAGCTTTATATAACCAATCAAAATTCTCTGGCCTCCAAATGTCCCAAAATCTGTCAACATTGCCATCAATTGGTGACACAGTGAATGCTCTTACTGCTGATCCTAATTTTGCAGCAGCATTAGCAACGGCCGTCACTTCTTTAATTGGCAATTCACACCATTCCAACAATGTTACTAATAACAATACTTCAGCCGCAACGACTCCAAGCAGCAATAATGAAACAATAAACAGTAGCAATGGCAACAATAAAGTCAACAGTTCAAGTACTTCTCCAGCATATTGATAGCAAGCCATGCTGCTCATTTCACCTTCTATTATTTATCTTCTCTTTTTCTTAGATCTCCTTAATTTTTTTTCCAAGTTATGTCTTTTGCTTAATTAGCAGGGAGGGAAGGAATCATTATACATGTCAATTATTTTTAGGTTTTATATGTGACTGAAACATATAACTTTCGCTAATTCTTTTCTTGTTTGAATAATGTAATTCAAATTACTAGTCAATACAAGAGATACGTTGGGGAATAAGTTGAAATGCAATTCTTTTAATTTCTTGCAAACATGATTTTGTCAATATTCTTTGTATGTCTTTCTTAACATGAAGGCAGAAGGTTACAAACTTGGAATAGATGAGAATGGTAGGAGTCATTTGTAGCTTAATATAACACAACTTTTGTTGGAGATATTGAGAAGAGTCGAGATTGAGGCTCATTTTTATTAGTTGGGCCATTATACTTATTTGTACATGGGCTGAAAGCCCAACATTTCTTTGTCTTGTATTTTTCTCCTTCAGTTGTAAATTAGTTGGGTCCATTTTTATATAGTTTCTAGACTATTCTATTTTGTAACAGATGAACAAAATTCATTTCGAAAGTCAATAATATCTCTTTCTTCTTCCCCAATCTCATGTCAAACCCTAGCACGATTATGTGCAAATCTACTTTGATTTCCGCTGCTGGCATGGTATTGGAGCAATAGATATCATATATTCGGGGTCTACTGTATCGTCCGATGTTACCCCCATTCAATTTCACCGGAGCTATAATTTTTCGGCACATTCGTCAGTTCCGACAATTTTTTGGTTTTGGCATATTTTTTCCACGCGGTTTCGTCGTGGATAATCATTTGGTGCTTTTCCGGTGATTTGCCATAAAATTTTGGTACTTTTTCAAGCTCTTCGTGGATCTAGGGTTTGCTATTGGTGAAGCTGGTATTTTTACTTCTCGTCTGTGTTCTTTTGAAGGCCGTACCTCTCCGGTTGCGATGAGGATCGGTACGATTACTTTCTCCTCATTTTTCATAGTGTTTCTCTGTTGATTGTGATAAACTTGCTGTTGTTGTTTCTCATTAAACCATGACTATTACATCTGATACGTCGTCTACGTCTACTTGTAAAAACTTAACTCAAACTGCTGCAAGTACACATCTTCCCTTTCATCCTGATGACTACACACACCCTTGCCATCCTTTATATGTCCATCTGTAAGATTTGTTAGGGTCTTTTCTAGTTACTGATCAGTTTGACGGGACATCCTATGAAAGTTGGCATCGATCCATATTAGTTGCTTTATTTGTTAGAAATGAACTTGATTTCATCCATAGCACTTATGAAAATCCACCTGAGGGTTACTCTCTACTTCGCCAATAGTAGCGATGCAATGATCTGGTTGTTTCATGGCTTGCTAATTCTGTCACTAGACAGGTTTACCAAACTATTGTCTATTCTGAATTTGCAAAAGACATCGGGAGGGAATTAGAAGCTAGGTATAGGCAAGCTGATGGGGCTAGAGTCTTTGAATTAAAAAAAGAGATGGCACATGTTTCACTGGTTGCACTTGATATAGCCTCTTACTTCAACAAGATTAAGCAACTCTGGGATGAGTTGTCTTTAATCAATGTGAACTCTCTAAATGGGTGTACTTGTGGTGGGAATGCTAAGTCTAAAGAAGAACAACGAGTATATCAGTTTCTTATGGGTCTCAATGAAGTCTATGTCCAAGTTAAAAGTAATATTCTCATGATAAAGCCCCTTCTCTCTATGGATACTATTTATAGTATTCTTTAAGTGATGAGAAACAAAGACAAGTGTCTGCAACTTCTCAATTCTCTTCAGACTCTACTTCCTTCCATGCTGGGGTTTCCAAACAGTTATACCCTGCCAAGGTAGCCTTTGATTCTTACAAATCTTCTATCACTTGTAAGTATTGTAAGAAACCTAGACATAGCATTGAGAAGTGCTTCAAACTACATGGTTTTCCATAAAATTTCAAGTTCACCAAGAGTGGAGGTACTCGCAAGGTAGCATCCAATGTAGCAGCTGATTCTTCTGGTTCATAGTCAGTGATTTCTGAGTTAAATAGCTCTCCTGCTCAGGCCACCTCTTCTGACCAGGCTTCTGGGATTCCTGGCATCACTCAGAACCAGTATGTTCAACTGATGCAGCTTCTCCAACATTCTCATCTCAATCTTGATCCCTCTCATTCTATCATGGCTTATGCTCACTTTGCAGGTAGAGAATCCACACATAGTGTTTTACTTAAACCCTGTTTATTTTTTGTCACGACCTAAAATCCATTATAGGTCGTGATGGTACCCAACGTCACTGTTAGGCAAGCCAACGGTGAACCATCTAAATAATTATCCCTTTTAATTTTTAAAATCAGGAATTTCATTAAATAAATAGGATAAAATCTGGTACTCTTAGAAACTTATGCTTTTCTTTACCAAATTCGGAATATAAATCATAAAGTGAAATAAAACTAATAACGTGAATTGCAATAATGAACATCCACTAGGAACTCCCAAAATCCGGTGTCACAAGTACTTGAACATCTACTAGGAAGTAAAATAATAATACAACATCTGTCTGGAATACAAGATAGACATGATGAAGTAAATAATTATGAAGGAGACTCTGTGTGTTGCAGTGCATAGCATAGAAAGCAGCTCACTATAAAGTTCTCTCAGCAGTTGCGCCTATATGCCAAGATGACTACCAAATGAACCTGTTAGATCCTGCACATTTAGTGCAGAAGTATAGCATGAGTATGTAAATTAATACGTACCTAGTAAGTATCTAGCCTAACCCCGGAGAAGTAGTGACGAGGGGTCGATATTGACACTTACTAGTGGTCCAGAAAATCAAATATAATGAAGTAGACAAGTATGAAACATAGTAAGTAAACAAGGAGCACAGATATAGACAAATACTACGGTTTACAACTGAACAATGAACACAAATACTTCGATTATTGGGTACCTCCGTAAACGGAATATGTAACGGACAATACCAAATCAACAGTCACATCTCAAGTCAGGAAACACATGAGTACGCGAACTCCTTATCAAATATTATGCAAGATTCTACCGAGGCGAGAGACCCGATACCATAAGAGTGTTTCATAGAATTCTCGAGGCGAACGGCCCGATCCCATAGGATTATTTCATAGAACCACTGAGGCGAATGACACGATCCCATAAGAATATGTTACTCTGCCGAGACAAACGGCCTGATCCCATAAGAGTGTGTTACATGATACCACCGAGGCGAACAACCCGATCCCATAAGAGTATGTTACATGATACCGCTGAGACGAACGACCCGATCCCATAAGAGTGTATTACATTATACCATCGAGGTGAATGGCCTAATCCCACTAGAATAAGAACCTTTAAATGGTCCTTGACCCCACTCACGAATATACGTGTGAGTATGAAATCTAAGAAAACTTTTCGATAAATATACACAACGCGAAAGGAATTCGTAAGGGAAGAATAATTTCTACGGCTAATCAAGTAGCTCATCAAGTATCTAAGATATCGAGGTTATTACTCTACGCGAGTCTAGTCTCAGGTCATAATGTGAATTAATGCAATTAAACATGCAATGATAACTCAAATAGTACAATTTAAGCATGTCGTGAGTCTAAGACTACCCGGACATAATCAGAAATCCTAGCACACACACTGATTCTCATCACCTCATACATGCGTAGCTCCCACAACACGTAGCACATAAGAAATATGACACCTACGTGGTAAATTCCCTATCACAAAGTTAGACATGAGACTTACCTCGCTCCGAAGTTCCATAACCAGCTCCAATGCCTCTCTAGCACCTCAAACCAATACCCATCGATCCGAAACTAGTCAAACAATCATGAAAACCAATAAAATTATACTCCAATACTCATAATTAATCAATTTAAAACAAGTTCCAACTCTGCTCGAAAAGTCAATAGAGTCAACCCTCGAGCCCACGTGCCCGGATTCTGAAAATGTTAGAAGATAAACATTACCCATAATATTAAGGACTCAAATATATAATTTATTCCCAATTCCATGTTCAATTTCGTGATCAAAATCCAAAAATACCAAATTCTAGGTTTTCTTCCAAATCCCACAATTTCTACAAAATTTCATGTTTAAATCCATATGTAACTCATGTATTTATCTTACAACAAGTGGGAATAACTTACCTTATAATAGATGATGACATCTCCTCTTCAAAAGCTCCAAAAATCGCCCAACCAAGTGAAGCAATAAGAGAAAATGAGCCAAATCCTGTATTAAATCAAATCTGCCCAGACCCTCTTTTCTTCGCGATCGCAGAAAAAGCCTCGCGATTGCGAAGTCCAACTCCTCCGAACTACCAAGCTACTCTACGCGTTCGCGAAGACCTGATCGCGTTCGCGATCAGCTGACCATACCCTTCCCGTTCGTGCTCCACCCCTCGCGTTCACGAAGGCCTTCTGCCTCAGAGCCATCCACCCTCCCAGCCTTCTTCGCATTCGCGAAATAGGACCAGGTCCTTCTCCGTGTTTGCGTGAAGTTCCTCGCGTTCGCGAAGAGAAAAATAGGGGCCCTTCATCAGCCTTCTTCGCGATCGCGGGATTACCTTCACGATCACGAAGCACATCAGCAACATCAAAATATCCAAACTTGGTCTGTAACCACTCTGAATCACACCTGAGGCCCCCGGGACCCCGTCCAATCACGTCAACAAGTACCAATACCTTATACAAATTTATCCAAAGGCTCGAAATGCCACGAATAACATCAAAATCATGAATCGATGATCAAAATCCTTCGTTAAACTTTCAAACTTATAAACTTCGACGAACGCATCCGAATTACACTTAAACATTCCGGAATGACGCCAAACTATACGTACAAGTCGTAAATCACGCTACGAACCTATTCCAAGGCTCAAAATCCCAAACAAATATCTGTAACATCAAAGTCCACTTCAAAACAAACTTAGGAAATTCTAAAACTTTTAAAATGCCAACTTTCAGTAATAAGCGTCGAAATGCTCCCGGGCCACCCAATACTCAACCCGAACATACGTCCAAGTAAGAAATCATCATACGAACCTATTGAAACCTTCAAATCCCGATTCCGAGGTCGTTTACTCAAAAGTCAAACCTTGATCAACTCTTCCAACTTAAAGCTTCCAAATTGAGAAGTTTCCTTCCGAATCAACTCCGAACTTCCCGAAATTAAATTCCGACCACATGTACAAGTCATAAAACATGAAGTGAAGCTACTCAAGGCCTCAAAATGCCAAACAATACACTAGATCTCAAAATGACCGATCAGGTCGTTACATTCTCCCCCACTTAAACATACGTTCGTCCTTGAGCATGCCAAGAACCGTTCCACAGTTGCCCAAAATCACTGTTTGAAACCTCGTGCACCTACCCGTGCCACCACAACCCACGTGAGCACATTAGCTCGGGCCAGACTGAAGATCCTCCCTATCACCTTAGATAGCAAGCCTTAGAATCACATTCCAACATCCGAAATTCTTCACGAGACCTGATTCCAACAAACGAACACCGTAATAATCTCAACTCTCTATACCAAATATGATCATGCACCCATGCTGAGATCACACAATGCACCGCACAATTTGTATGTCCATAATAACATCCTCCGACTACAATAACTGCAAATTCACAAACCAGATGCCCGTAGTATTCTCATAACGCATATAAGCCCGGTCTCAACCTTCACAATACTGAGATGATGAAAGAGATGTGCAGGAACTCATAACCACCCGTCAAATCAATAACTCATGGAGTTTCCCCGCTTGACAAGAACCATTACCTTATTCTGAACTGAATAGTGTCATTTTCTCTTTAATATACCTTACATAAATCCGATCGCACTAATTTCTGATCCATTAACCTCGTCCCACCCTGTACAAGCTCCTCAGGCAATAAGCCACCTCAAAAACTGACTAAAATCTCATATGACATCGTCAATGCGCCAATAAGCTACAACCCGAATATGACCAATAAGGAATAACAAACCCGAATACAAGACTATCCGGCCTGCGCAGTGAATAAAAACAACCAAACCAATGCTATGAACCTATCTCAGAGATGAAAACCAAAACACACAAAATAAGTTTGAGGGACTGTACTCAACATCTCACTGATGCGGCGTGCAACCCGATCCAACCTAATTATCAAGTCGTAATGCTCAAACCTAAGAAATGCCTGAATATTGACTACAAGCACGCCAAGTGCATAAATACAACCCTGGGGAGACAGATAGCACCATGTGCTACAACAACTCAAGCACGACTAAGATGAAATAAACAACCTGCATCTAGAGAGCCATCTTGCTCATATAACACCACAATCTATACGGGATCACAACACATGTGCGGATAATCAAGCCGTCTCACAACTCACATGGCATAATAGAGTATTACATAGGATAGCTGATGACAGGAATAACATCCAATGCCCGATGACTTCTCCATAATCAATGCTATGTTGAATGAACACATCCGACCTGATATAAGGCATATATTCATATTAGATCTACTAACTGACTTCAAGCCAATATCGATCATCCCATACTGGGCCAATAACATTTCAAGGATCCATAATGACCCTATTCATGACACATACGAGCAGTCGTCAAATCCGGAACAAACTCCCATAGTCCACAACCAAAGGAATAGAGCGCCTCTCAGTTATAATCTCCCCCATTGGTGATAGTACCAAAATCTCCATACCTGATTTCAATCTCTAGCAATCAAATTACTAACACGTCACACTTATACGATCTTATCGTGGGATATTATAATGACCCGACCGGTTGTTTCGAGTATTACAACCCCATCTCCCCATTTACTACTCAAATTATGCTTTACAGTTGTTATTTGACTTGCCGGGGTAATTAGTTCGGGTCCGGTGAGGTTTTGGAATGATTTAGAACACTTAGTTCTAAGGTTTAGAACTTAAGTTGAAAAGGTTGAACGGATGTTGACCTACGTATAACAACCTCGAAAAATTATTTCTAAGGAAATTAAGGTTTCGTGGTGCCGAACTAGGCTTACGTGTTTGAGAAATGTCGTAGCGGTTCAAACTTTATGGATTGAACAATGCGCTGGTGAGTAAAGGTAAATTGTAGGCAGAAAAATATATTTCTGTGGCCCACTATGCGATAGCAGAATCACTCTGCGGACCGCATAATGGCCGCAGAGTGAAGAAGGTTAGGCCAAGTTTGGAGATCAGGTTTGCGGTGCATTATGCGACCGCAAACCAGTTCTTCGGTGTATTATGCGACCGCATAATGACCTCATACTGAGTTAGTATGGCCCAGTTCTGGAGGGCAATTATGCGGCCTATTCTGCGGACCGCAGAAGCATTATGCTGTCGCATGTCCGACCGCAGACCGGTGTCGGGGCAGTTTTGTTTTTTTTATTTTTTTAACCCGATCCCATTTTGATAAATAGCCTTTGGGGTCATTTTGAAGGGTTTCATATGATATTCTAGAGAGAAGTGAGAGCATCTTAGTGAGAGAAAGTGAAGACCTAGCCATTTGTCCATCAATTCTTGTTCAAGGTTTGAAGATTTCACAAGGATCTTACTAGGGCTTCAAAGAGGTAAGAATTTCTAAACCTAGTCTTCAATTTCGAGTTTGGGTAAAGATAGGTGATTGGGAGTATGATTCTTGGGTGTGAGAGTATTATTTATACATACACATACCAATAAGGTTTGTAGAAAAATTATTGAGCTCAAATGAGTAAAGATTGGGTTAAAAATGGTAGAAATCTTCAAAGATTTTAATTGAAGATTTGAGGGTCGAGTTGATGTCGGAATTTGGTGAGATTTGTATGGTTGGACTCGTGGTTAGATGGGCATTCATAGTTTGTAATTTTTGTCGGGTTACGAGGCATGGGCCTCACGGGCGATATTTGAGTGCAATTTCGGATTTTTTTGAAAAATTAATATTTTCATATGGAATCAATTCCTATAATTTGTATTGACTGAATCAAATTATTTGTGACTAGATTCGAGGCGTTTGGAGACCGATTCGCGAGGCAAAGGCATAGCAGAATAAAGAATTATGCGGTTTGAATTAAGTAATAGTTCTAAAATTGGTCTTGAGGGTATGAAACCCTGTAATATATGTTATGTGATCGATTTTGAGGTGACGCACATGCTAGGTGACTGGCGTGTGGGCGTGCACCGTAGGAATTATGACTTGGTCAAATTCCATGGAATTGTGTAGTTGAATAATCTGTTGTTATCTGTATATTCTCCATGTAGTAGAGAAATCTAACCACAAATCATGTTTAGATTATGTGTTGGCACTATAGGGACCCATAGAGGTTGTGTACATATTGAATTATCTGCTAAATTATTCTTTTGTACTCAGTCATAGTTTACTCATTTATTTTATATCAGTCTCTATTGTTCATTATTGATACATTATATCATTGTTTTTTGGGTTGATTTTCATGATTATTGAGAGCCCGAGAGACTGGAGAGAGATTTATGACTGAGTGAGGCCGAGGGACTGATTGTGAGATATTATACTATAGCACGTGAGCTGTCCGTGCGGACCCATATATTATACTATAGCACGTGAGTTATCTGTGCGGATCTAGATATTGATACTATAGTACGTGAGTTGTTCGTGCAACACGTGAGTTGTCCGTGCGGATCTAGATATTGATACTATAGCACATGAGTTGTTTGTGCAACACGTGAGTTGTCTGTGCGGATTCAGATATTGATATTATAGCACGTGAGTTGTCCATGTAGCACGTGAGTTGTCTGTGCGGATTATAGCACTTGGGCTGAAGGAGCCCCTACAGAGTCTGTACACACCCCCAGTGAGCGCAGGTACCTACTAAGTGCGAGTGCTGAGTGCTGAGCTAGTGGAAGGGCTGAGTGACTGTGGTCCTGAGAGGATGCATTTGATTTCATTATTGTTGCACTTCAGCTGTCATATATCACTGTGTTGAAAATTTCTGAGAGATATTATCTTATGTTTCAGTTGAACATGACATGAAATTACTGTTTTGGCCTTAAATGTTGAACTTGAAAGCATGCCTACCTTGTTATATTTGAAATTACTATAATTGGACTCAACTATGAAGCTCGTCACTACTTTTAGTTCTTTATTTGGTATTGTTACTTGCTGATGTGGTTGTACTCATACTATACCCTGTACTTCGTGTGCAAATTCAGGTGTTCCCGGACACAGTGGGTGTTGATTTCTTCGCAAAGTTGATTATCCAGAGATTCCGAGGTAGCTGCCGGTGTTTCGCAAACCTTGTCTCTCCTTCCTTATCTTCTTGATTTTGTATTTGGTCTCACACTATTATAGACCGTATTTTCCACACTTGTGATGTATAGATGCTCATGTACTCTGTGACACCCCGATAGTTGGGAATTTTGGATTTTATTTTGGGTTTTCTATCTAGGTTATGCGAACCTTTACTACTAAAGCCACTTTAAATTCATTCTTGCTAAAAGTGTTGGAAATACTTGAGAGAAATCGGCTTGCCTAGTACCACGTTAGGCACCATCACGACAGGTTAGGATTTTGGGTCGTGACAAGTTGGTATAAGAGCCTAGGCTACATAGGTTTCACGAGTCATGAGCAGGTTTAGTAGAGTCTTGCGGTTCGGTATGGAGACGTCTGTACTTATCTTCGAGAGGCTGTCGAACCCTTAGGAAAGATTTCACTTTCTTGTATTCTGTCGTGTGGATTTGTTGATTCCCAAAATTAAAATTTTGTTATTCTATTCTCTTACAGATGGTGAGGAAACGTACTATCGGATTGGACAATCAACCACCAGTGCCACCTGTTAGGACCGCGAGAGGTCGGGGCCGTGGTAGAGGACGGGGATGAGGTGGAGGTCGAGGTGTAGCTCGTACAACAATTAGAGCAACACCTATAGCTCCACCAGTTGCTCCAGCTCAGGAGCAGATTCCAGATATAGTTGAGACGGTGGGACCAGCTCAGGCACTAGATGTGCCTATTGCAATTCCAGGCCTTCAGGAGGCTTTGGCCCATATATTGACACTTTGCAATGGCCTTGCTCAGGTGGTTTTGGATCAGGCCGCACCAGCCACTTTTCAGGCCGGGGGAGGTACTCATACCCTTATTGCCCGTATTCCAGAGCAGGTAGTGCAGGGACTTCAGATACTGGGGGCACTACCAGCCCAGCCGGGTGCAGCTGCTCAGGCCCCGGTAGTCCCCGTTATGGCAGATGATGAGCAGAGGAGACTTAAGAGATTTGAGAGGCTTCGACCTCCATCATTTAGCGGTGCTGAGTCAGAGGATGCTCAGGGTTTTCTGGATAAGTGCCATCGGATGCTTCGGACAATGGGTATTTTGGAGACCAGTGGGGTCTCGTTCACTACTTTTCAGTTTTCTGGGGCTGCCTTCAGATGGTGGGAGGCTTATGAGAGGCACATGCCGGTCGATGTAGTTCCACTTACATGGAAAGAGTTCTATGTTCTCTTTTTGGAGAAGTTCATGCCGCAGTCTCACAGGGAGGAGATGCGCAGACAGTTTGAGCAGCTTCGGCAGGATGGCATGTTTGTGACCCAGTACGAGATGAAGTTTTCTGAGTTGGCTCGTCACGCAGTTTGGTTGGTTTCCAATGATAGGGAGAGGATTAGGAGGTTCATTGATGGCCTCACGTATCAGCTACGGTTGCTTATGACTAGGGAGAGGGTATATGTTTTTGGGCAATTGTTTTAAAAATTAACACTTTTAGTAATTACTAATTTAGCCCTTTGAAAAACTATAAATACATCCCCCCTTCTTCATTTCTTCACTCATCTCTCATTTCTCAAATTCAAATTCTCAATTCAGGTTAAATCATGCCCCGTGATTCTAGAGTGTGCTCATATATTTGGGAACACTTTGACGTAGTAGAAGAAAATGAAGAAGATCACAAAGTAAAGTGCAAGAACTGTGGTCGAGTCTTAAATCTTCATCGAAAGTGGGAGGGCACAGGATGTTTAAGGATGCATATGAAGAGTTGTCTTGAGCGTCATCCAGAAATTCGTATTTAAGATTTTAAGTTGATTTGAGACAATTTGTGTTATTTTAAAATTATTAGACGTATTATGCTTAATGTTTTAGTTTGTTAGATTAATTTAAAGTATTATTATGCAATGAAAATTTGAAATGAAACTATGAAAGTCTTTGAATTTAACACTCCAGAAGATGGCCAAGAAGGTCATATTGATTATGAAGAACTTACTAAGGCAATGCAAAACCTTTGAAGTTCTAGATTTATATTTAATAATTAAACTTTGAATTTACTATTTTTTCATTAATTTAGTTGTTATTAAATGTAAACTTTAATTTGCAAGTTTGAACTTGCAAATTATAAGTGCAATTTTTTTCCATCTTCATTGTATTCTATTATCTTAAATTCTTAATAAAATATTTAAATATAAGAATTTTAAAGTCTTTGCATCCTTTATTCAAACACTCTTTTTATAAGATTATTTTTTTTATTTTATATTTTTATTTTAGTTATACAAAAAAAGAATAAAAAAAATACATAAACCCGGCCCGACCTGGCCCCTTAGGCCCGAAACCATTCCGGTTAATTTTTGACCGGATGGACCCGGAACCGTTAAGCTCGGTTTGTAAAACCCGAAACCTGGCCCGGATTGGTGACCGACCGGTCACTATTTTTCTCGACTTGGTCCAGCCCGGTCCACCCGTTTGTCACCTTTAGTCAGTATTGCCTAGTTCCGGAGGGCAATTATGTGGCCTATTCTGCGGACTGCAGAAGCATTATTCGGTCGCACATGCGACCGCAGACCGGTGTCGGGGCAGGTTTTTTTTCCTAATTTTTGTAACCCGACCCATTTTGATAAATAGCCTTTGGGGTCAGTTTGATGGGTTTCATCTGATATTTTAGAGAGAGGTGAGAGCATCTTAGAGGGAGAAAGTGAAGACCTAGCCATTTGTCCATCAATTCTTGTTCATGGTTTGAAGATTTCACAAGGATCTTGCTAGTGCTTCAAAGAGGTAAGAATTTCTAACCCTAGTCTTCAATTTCGAGTTTGGATAAAGATGGGTGATTGGGAGTATGATTCTTGGGTGTGAGAGTATTATTTATACATACACGTACCAATAAGGTTTGTGAAAAGATTATTGAGCTCAAATGGGTAAAGATTGGGTTGAAAATGGTAGAAATCTTCAAAGACTGTAATTGAAGATTTGAGGGTCAAGTTGATGTAGGAATTTTGTGAAATTTGTATGGTTGAACTCGTGGTTAGATGGGCGTTCATAGTTTGTAATTTTTGTCGGGTTCGGAGGCATGGGCCCCACAGGCAATTTTTGAGTACAATTTCGAGTTTTGTTGGAAAATTAATATTTTCATATAGAATCAATTCCTATAATTTATATTGACTGAAACAAATTATTTGTGACTAGATTCGAGGTATTTGGAGACCGATTCGCGAGGCAAAGGCATAGCAGAATAAAGAATTATGTAGTTTGAGGTAAGTAATAGTTCTAAATTTGGTCCTGAGGGTATGAAACCCCAGATTATGTATTATGTGATCGGTTTTTAGGTGACGCACATGCTAGGTGACGCGCGTGTGGGCGGGCACCGTAGGAATTGTGACATGGTCAAATTCCATGGAACTATGTGATTGAATAATCTGTTGTTATCTGTACATTCCCCATGTAGTAGAGAAATTGAACCACAAATCATGTTTAGATTATGTGTTGGCACTGCAGGGACCCACAGAGGTCGTGTACATGTTGAATTATCTGCTAAATTATTCTTTTGTACTCAATCATAGTTTACTTGTTTATTTTATCTCAGTCTCTATTGTTCATTATTGATGCATCATATCATTGTTGTTTGGGCTGATTTTCATGATTATTGAGAGCCCAAGAGACTAGAGAGAGATTTATGACTGAGTCAGGCCGAGGGCCTGACTATGAGATATTATACTATAGCACGTGATTTATCCGTGCTAATCTAGATATTGATACTATAGTACGTGAGTTGTCCGTGCAGATCCAAATATTGATACTATAGCACGCGAGTTGTCCGTACAGCACGTGAGTTATCCGTGCAGATTATAGCGCTTGGGTTGAAGGAGCCCCTCCGGAGTCTGTACACACCCCAAGTGAGCGCAGGTACCTACTGAGTGAGAGTGCTGAGTGCTGAGCTAGTGTAAGGGCTAAGTGACTGTGGTCATGAGAGGATGCATTTGATTTCATTATTGTTGCACTTCAGCTATCATATATCACTGTGTTGAAAATTTCTAAGAGATATTATCTTATGTTTCAATTGAACATGACATGAAATTATTGTTTTGGCCTTAAATGTTGAACTTGAAAGCATGTCTACCTTGTTATACTGGAAATTACTGTAATTGGATTCAGTTGTGAAGCTCGTCACTACTTTCAGTTCTTTATTTAGTATTGTTACTTGCTGAGTTGGTTGTACTCATACTATACCTTGCACTTCGTGTGCACATCCAGGTGTTCCTGGACACAGTGGGTGTTAATTTATTCGCACAGTTGGTTATCCGGAGATTCCGAGGTAGCTGCCGGTGTTTCGCAGACCTTGTCTCTCCTTCCTTATCTTCTTGATTTTTATTTGGTCCCTGACTATTATAGACCGTGTTTTCCAGACTTATAATGTATAGATACTCATGTACTCTGTGACACCCTGATAGTTGGGAATTTCGCATTTTATTTTGGGTTTTCTATCCCGGTTATGCGAACTTTTACTACTAAAACTACTTTAAATTCATTCTTGCTAAAAGTGTTGGAAATACTTGGGTGAAATCGGCTTCCCTAGTACAACGTTAGGCGCCATCACGGCATGTTAGGATTTTGGGTCGTGACAGATATACTCCCACAACCTTCTGCACCGGGTAGCAAAATCTAAACATCAATGGCCACCGACCTTGTATTTCTGTAATGCCAATTAAGAATCCACAAACCAATGAACAATGTCTCTTCCACAAAACTCCATCCTTAGGCGACATTAAGATAATGTCAGCTTACTCTGAACATCTGAATCCTCCCCCCGCTCCTCTGAACACGTGACATTCTTATAAAAACCGAACCGTAACCTTGATCCTCAACTTCCAATTTCCATGATGCTCACTGCACCTATCATGCCACGACGCGAGTGTACAAGAAATTCATCATAACCCCTGAACCACCAGTAGAATAACCACTTCATCAGCTAGAACCCCTTTAACCCAAGTCATTTAAGAAGAACAATTGCAACACGCAACCGAATTCCCATAACCGCAGAACCATGTTGATTCAAGCCATAACTAACTGACTCAACTTTTCCTAATTTACTCTTGACTTGCCTTTGGAATAATAGTCCTATTCAAACACATAACGGACGTCAAACAACTTTTATCCCGAGTGACCCAAATCACGAGAACACATCATCCCGATATCCATATTCCATCTCATACCCTCCTTGTGCATTCCATAGTATCTCTAACTGATACACACATTCTGAAAGACCTCCTGCAAATACGAAGCTGTTTCTCCCATTTCTCTAACACTGCACTGTAGATCCGATGATAATATAAAAATTCCCTAAGTACTCTTCACGCTCTGCTGCAAAACCCAGTCCTCAGCCACCTAACGAACCCAAAATCTTTAAACACCGGACTTTACTTATTGAACCCACTAGAACCATTATTGAGAGTCACCCACTATGACCTGGTCCCGAATATGTAACCAAATTCTAGTGCTCTGCTAGCACATGAACACTTCTAACAAAGCAATCAGATGAATTCTTTTCCTTGCAGGTCACATCTACAGGAAGCATAAATTCTGAGTCATCCCCAAAAGCTGCACATGAATCGATAGGGCGAAATGTAACACATATACATCAAATTCCTTGTCCAAAATACCCTTGATAGTATACTCCTCTTGGTCTTGACTAATCCACTAATGTACCGATAACCAAAAACTACACAAGCACACAACCACATGACTCAATCATA